TCTATCTATCTATCTATCTATCTATCTATCTATCTATCTATCTATCTATCATCTATCTATCTATCTATCTATCATCCATTAATTTATCAAATTTATATAGCCAGCAGTGATTTTGGGCAATATTGAAAAACTTCTGGCTATTTTGGATGGATTTGCATTCTCCAGATAGGATGGTATTTTGAGAGTAGCAGGAATCTCGGGACTGTAACTGATTAAAACCATTGTTAAAACACATGCTGACTACTTGCATTATGTCATGTGAGGGTTGCTCATTCACATGGCTGACTGATCTCAGGTGGGCTCACCTTAGGGTGGTTTTATAGAGCCATCAGAAGGGGCCCAGGTCCTTTCAGGGCATCTGCATCATTAGCATCACCGTTAGATGAAGGAAGCTAGGATGCACAAAGAAAATTATACCCTTTTCAGAAGCATGTCTGAGGTTGCTTCTTGTGTCCTTCACCAACAGGGCTGCTCCCTTTAACCAAAACTCTCAGATTTTCCTTCCATCTGGTGGGCTTTGAACATTTTTATGGGCTACTGAAGAGCAGTGTTTCAATCTGGAAGGGATTCTGGGTAATCTCTTCATCTCTGTCTCCATCAGGACCTGAGTTGGAGCTGGGCTGCCAGAAAACCCTTGCATAGAAGGGTGCCATAGATGACAAGCAGTCTAGTTCTTCAGCTCTTTATGGGTCCCCTTGATAGGGTTCCAGGAACCCCAAGGTGACTTGGCACAGAGACTGAACATTGCGTTCCCAGGTCCTTTTCAGACAAGATCTGGGCTGGAGACTTTGTACCAGAAAAGAATGGCAAGCCCCCAGGTCTTTAATGTGTAAGAAAACTGCTTGTATCTCTCCTTGTGGTTAGCCTCACTCCCTCCTACAAAACCAGAAAAGTTATGAACTTCCCATGATGGCGTGATAGAGAAGGATCAACATGAAGCAACCCATCCCTGTGCCCCTGGGTTCTAACAGCTTTGCATTACCCTGCAGGAACAAAGAACTTCCATAAGTTTCAGGTCCTGTGGATGCTTTGGCCTCCCCTTGGAGACTGTCTCCTGAGTAGTCCTGAGCATTGCAATTCCTCCTTGGCTCAGAAGAGCTTCATTTGATGTACAGGTGTTGGACTCCCAACTGCCAATCCTACAGGGCAGTTTTACCAGAAGTCTCTCATGAAAACATCATGAGATACATAAAATTATTTTAATCACCTGCATTTGAAAGTTTGCTTCACAATCAGCAGTCTTTTTACAGCCAATTAAGTAAAAAAAAATATATCAGTAGTTCTGTGCTTGAGAGTCAGAGTGCTCAAACTTGGAAAAAGTCTTCAGGGAGCTGCCTTTTTTATTTAGGCCTCATAAAATGGAATTGTGTTGGCAGGTAGGAACTTGTTAAGGTAGGGAGTGGGACAAAGGATTAACAAAGCCTAAATAAGGATGTCTTCTTAAATATAGTGCATGAAGTCAAAATGGATAATAATCTAATAAACGAGTAAGTGAGCAGACTTGTTCCTACTAAAATATACTCTAACTTGCTTAGAGCTGAACGACTCCATTTTTTTCCAGGCCAAAATGTTTAAAGACGTCCTAATGAGCTGAAAGATCATGTGCAGTATTGTACAAATGTTCCATAGGTTAAGTGATTAAAAGGAAATATATTCAATTCTAGCGTACAGCTTATAAGTGATGCTTGAGCAGGGTCCACAGTATTGTCAGGATGCCACACATCCTCTTCACAACCTTGTTACTTTTTGGGGAAGAGGCTGTATGGTATCCAAAGCAGAACATCCAGATTCAGTCACAGTTTTGTTGCATATAACATCAACCTTGTGGACGTTCAAGTTTCCTCTTTCCGCAATGTATTCAAAATGGACAGTGATTAATTTGTGTGTGCATATACATATATCTATTCTGTATCTATCTCTATGTCCATCAATCTATCATCTATCTATCATCTATATCAGGAGTGTAAAACTCAAGGCCCGTGGGCCAGATACAGCCTGCAGGGTGCTTAGATCTGGCCCTCAGGGCTGCCCTGGAAATAGTGAAGGACCGGCCCGCGGTGCCTCTGCCAGCGGAAATGGAGTTCGTGAGGGCCACATGTGTGCCCTCTGAGCTTTATTTTCTCCGGCAGAGGGTTGCAGGAGGCCGTCTCAGACAAAAACGGAGCTCGGGATCCCGTTTTCACTCAGGCCACCACAGGTGCCCCCCAACACAAGTGACATCATGCTGGCCAGGCTGACCCTGGTCATGCCCCTCCACCACCACCCCAGAGTCAGACACAATTCTGATGCGGCCCTCAATTAAATTGAGTTTGATACCCCTGATCTCTCTTTCCCGCTATTTATCTATCATCTCTCTATCGTCTGTCTGTCTATCTATCTATCTATCTATCTATCTATCTATCTATTTATCTATCTCTTGTGTGTGTGTGTGTGTGTGTGTGTGTCTAGATAGATAGATAGATAGATAGATAGATAGATAGATAGATAGATAGAGATAGAGATGATAGATGATAGATAGATAGATAGATAGATAGATAGATAGATAGATAGATAGATATAGAGATGATAGATGATAGATAGATAGATAGATAGATAGATAGATAGATAGATAGATAGAT